AGGGGGTGGGGGACCCGGGGGCGCCAATGCGGAAATTGGCGGAGGCGGGGGCGGGGCCGACCCGGGCGGCGGAGGCGGGGGCACTGACGGGGGACCCGACGATATCACCGCTGTGAATTTTATAATAAATGATTAATACAATGTGAGAATAGCAAGTAAGGTGCCATCTTAACAAACAAGCAATTTATTCCTGCAACGTATCGTCACGGAATCGCAACGTATCTATGATGTTGTGTTGTGTTTTTAAGATGCGTTTGATAGCACGGCGACATAACTGTTGTGATTCTCTCGGTCCTGGAAATGGCGTGTAGGACTCAATGGAAGTGGTACAAATATAATACGTACGCTGCGCGGGGCGCGGGGGCGCCGTGCGGTGCGCCAGCGGGGGCGGCAGCACGCGCGCCGGCGGCGGCGGGGGCGCGCGGGACGCTGCGGGGGACCACACATTATAACATGTCTCATGTTTCATATTGCAAATTACATCAAGCTTAATGGTTGGATATTATACAAAAAAATATAATACGAGGTACATAGTTTCATCACACAAGGGCAACTCGTAAGATTTTTATAATTGTTACATTGTTGTTCGATGTTCGTCTCTAAAATAAACAGAACAACATAACTATCATCAGTAAACAGACAAAAACACCTTCATATATTATGAAACAAAATGACACTGAAGCCATATGACATTTTACCTGACAACTAATATGTATTAGATTTTTGAGCAAATATTATTTTTTAAGCCTCGAACACAGGCGCAAAATCGCAAGCCTTTCGGTATTCTATCGGATACATTTCGGTGAGTGTGCGTGGGAATTGCACAAACTTATTCCCCCTAGTCCATTTCACCACCGTACCACCAGACGAACGACGGGGCCCCACCCTTATATGGTGGACATTCCACCTATTCGCACGAAGCGCTTCGCGTCAAGCTTCCTCGTGCGAACCGCTAAGGAATGGAATTCCTTGCCAGGGGCTGTGTTTCCCGTCAAATATGACTTGGGTGTCTTCAAGTCCCGAGTGGACAGGTTGCTCATAGGTAGGCGTGCTCCATCGTCGGCCACATCATCGCTTACCATCAGGCGAGATGGTGGTCAAACGTCGACCTAAAAAGTATATATATAAAAAAAAATTAATATGAAAAAAAAAATAATTACGTGGTGCGGGTGGGTGTGGCGGGGCGGGGCTGCGCGTGGGTACGGGCGGCGCGGGCGGCGGCGGGGCCGACACGGGCGGCGGCGGGGCCGACATACTCGGCGCCGGCGGCAGCGCGCCGCGCGGGGCTGCGGGGGAACCAGATATGGAAATCACCACTTATTCTAAAATCCAACATGAACTTGCAATTTTGGTTTCTTGGCCATGCACAAGGATTTTATTTGTAAGAGTTTAGGTAGAGGTGCACATTGTGGCACTTTATGCCATTGTAGGTACAATGTTACACACATTTTTCACTATTTATGTTATTATGAGTCACGCCCCAGGGCGTGAGCTTATTGCCATATACCGGGCAGAATTCCAGAGTCCGTGCTACAATTCATTTAAAAAAAAACCAGGTATACTTTGCCCGTACCGGGAATCGAACCTATAAAAAGCATTTAATATTTAGTACTTATTTTCCTCTGCTATTAAAATAATAAAAATCAGTTTATAATAATTAAGAACTCACTCTTAACATTATCGAGATCTTGTTTGACGGCCGGCAGTCCTCCATGCATCTCGATGAAGTCGTATATAAACTCTCTGGTTTCTTGGTCTTGTAGCTGGGTCTCTGACACCCCAGCCTTCGTGAAGAACGAACGTAGTTCGTCGGCATTTGGTGCGTTGTCCAGGTCAAACCCTAAAGATTTTTAGTTTAGAATTGATAATGATGTAACAAAGTATAAGATTTATATGAATGTGAAGTTAAGGTTTAAATTATTGAGATTTATTAATATTACCAAGTTTTTGGAAATGATCCAGAGATTTTGGGCTAAGATTGGTAAATAATTTCGTTTGTTTGTACCTTTGTTAGCATCCCAGCCGACGTGTGATATGTGTTTAAAGTTCTGCGGCACTCCAATGTCAGCCTTCGTCAGCTTCCGCCCCTTCTGTTTCTTATTACTTTTCAAAGTGTAGCCTGAAATTAGTATTTATATAAATATTTATATGTCACCTTTTCGAACTTCGATATTAGTATTACTGTGAGTTCGGAGTACAGTGCTCACATACTTTGGAGTTACAAGAGGATCCTTGGAGCTCTAGTAGAACCGAAGGGGTTACAGTAGGCCCCCAAGGATCTAGAACCGGAGAAGTTCTGAACGGAACCGAAGGAGTAAAAAAGTAAACCAAATAAGTTTTAGAGGACCCGGGGATATTACAAGAGGACCCAAAGAAGTTCTTGAAGAACCGAAGGAGTAAAAGAACCCAGGTGAATTATAGAGGAACCGGAGGAGTTACAAGAGGACCCAAAGTGGATCGTGTAGAACTTAAGGAGTTATAAAAGGATGCTGAGGAGCTCTAATGGATCTAGAGAAGTTTAAGAGGACCCTTTGGTGGAGTTCCAATGGAATCGGGGAAGATACAACGGGAACTGAAGGTGTTACAAGTATATCTGAAGGAACTCACTGGCAACTGGAGGAGTTACATAAGGATTCATAGAAGTTCTTGTGGAACCGAACAAGTTACAAAGAGGAACCCAAAGAGCTCTAATGAGTCCAGACAAATTACAAGAGGATCCAAAGGAGTTCCAGTGGAACCGGCGGAGTTACAAGTGAATAAACTTGTAGTTATGCGAGTTATTAGAGAACTCTGAGGAGTTCTAGTGGTGCCGAAGGAGTTGCAAGGGGACTCAGAGTAGTTACAGAGGTACACCCGCAACACAAAGTGTGAAACAACAGCTCATTTGCCGCACTATCTCATAAAAAATATTTTAAACCATGGTATGGTACTGACTTCCTAAGCTGTGATTAGTCTTCGCGGGTATGGGCTGCATCTGCTGCACTGGCTGCGGGGGCTGCATGAGTGGTGTGGGCGCCGGGGTGGGCGGCGCGGGCGCGGGCTCCGGCTCCGGCGGCGGCGGCGGCAGCGTGCCATTCTGCCGCGACGGCACTGAACTCGCGGTACTGCTGCGGGCTGATACCATCGACCGTTGCCGACGTTCTGTTAATAAAGTCACATTTTTATATTCACAGGAAAGTTTTGAATGCGTACTGGATTCTGGACCGTATTTAATTACCAAAATCTTCAACCAATGGAAAGTTCTAATTTCAAGGAGACCCATTGGCTAATTTTATTCCCATAGTCATAAAGGCTCAAGATTCTTGGTTGCCCCAGTCAGAGGCTCGGGAGCAGGTCTATTTTAGAGGACCCAGTGCCTCCATTCAGGTGTTGAGGGTGGCCGGGGTGTTTTAGTGAGGTAAAAATCCCACACTCCCTAGTCTTTTATCCCCAAAACGGCTAGGCGCCTATTGAAGGTTCCGCACCGTCATCAAAAAAAAAAAAAAAGGATTCCCCAGTCATCAAAAAGGGTTTCAGACTACGTTTAACCTCTTGACTGCCGGTATATAAGACACAATAGAAAATGCATTGTGTCTCGCGTAGATCTACGTTACGGCACACGACGGGTTAATGCACTTTTGAACTTAAAAGTAGCTTAATAAAAATCCGAATATGTTCGTGTAAATTTTAAGGGTTCTTTGTTTTCTTACATTGACCGGTGGTATGCCGCAACGTAGATCTACGCGAGACACAATGTACCTATTTTCTATTGTGTCTCATAATACCGGTACTCAACACGTTAATAGTAAGTGAATTGAGTAATTAAAAAGAAAGGCTATTTTTTTTTTCAATTTGTCATTTCCGTGTTTGGTAAGATCAATTTTGATACAACAAAGGATTATTAGAGCCTAAGAATTCTTTTGAGTATGTCCTAAATGTGACGTCATAATATTTATTTCATGCAATTAGTATTTACACAGTTAAGCAGACTTCTTCTAATACCAAAAACCAATGTAGGCCCCATTATTTCTTAAAATTTCCCAATCAAAATTACAGAGGCCAAGAAACGGAAGCCAGTACATGTGATGACATAGTGAAGGAATTATTCAGAGCCATCATCACAAAGCGTGTTTACGAGATATATTTGTAAATAGCAGTAACGACAGATATAAACACATAATGTGAAGTCATTATTTACGACAATCGCCGCATTATTGCCGGCTCTCAAGTTCCTGGCGAGAATAGGTCTACGGTCCTTCCTTCCGCAGGTTCACGTCCAAGGCATTGTGGTGCAAATGTCATTGTTTGTAACTGGTAAACAACATGACTAGGATAACAAATACTATAGTACATAGCGATTATATGAAAAAAAAAAATATATATACGTCAGACTTTTAATCCATTAATGCAAATGTCAAAGTTCATGACACTTGTGTGTTCGTATGTATTTTTTTTTGTCATTCACGGAAAAACTTCTAAGGAAATTGGCTATTAGGCTATAATTTACGATAACCCGGGCGGAGCTGTTAGAATATAACATAATATAAAGTCGATCGTTTCATCATATCGCTATAATTACACTACCTAATGCTCTAAAAACTGACTAGCGCCGAGAGACGGGCCGCGCCATACTCTAAAACCTTTGTTTTAAAGGGGGGAAAATCATTGAATGACTGCTGCCGCCTGGGTGAGGCGAGAGGGATTGTCAGACAATACTGACTAAAAACCACCCCGTTCCTTCTCCTGCACGTCGAGCCGGAGCCCCATACTCTAAAACCTTCGTGACCTTACTTCGACCCTCAAGCCAAGTAGTTATTATGCCAAACCACAAGCTCAGCGTTTATTCATCAGTGTAAGTATTCTTGTTGATGATGATCATATAAATGATTCATCAATCTATTTATATTAGTTACTGTACCAACTTTTATTTGGTACATTACATATTATAGATTTTGATTCATTATAAATTTTGTTTTTAAATTAACTAAAAATCGCGGGTTACTCACGTGAGTATACTGAGAAAAGCTCTACTAGTTTCGAACCACAGAGGGGTTCTTCCTCATGAGCAGCATATTCAGCATACTCAGTATATTCACGTGAGTAACCCGCGATTTTTAGTAATTTAGTATGTCTCACGATAGTTATTTTATTATAAAAATTTTGTTTTTGTTGAATTTGTAAGATAAACTAACAAATTAAAGACACAAGCTTCCGATATTTGACAATAGAAAAGTAAAAATGTTCAAATAGAATATTTTCTCCTTGTTTCATAGTCAAGAAATAAGTTACACAAACCTTCTCGTCTGATCTTCCTGAGTTCGATTTTCTCAAGGAGTATATTTCTAAGAATATTCGCTTCATTCTCGTTTGCGAAGTTGAATGCGGCCATATATTCCTGGAATTAAAAATACATATGCATAAGTTGATTTTGAAAACCAAAGATTAGAACGGGCTACTCTTCCTACTCGAGTCGTGAGAACCGACTAAGGAACTGGAGAATGCATCCATTTCTATAAAACCTGAACATTTTACACTGTGAGCTTCAACCCGCCTGCCATGCGTGAAGCGATTATGTGCAAAACCTTATGCAGAGGAGAGTAGGTCAGTTGTCTCTGCTGTTGATTAGATGATAACCTTTGATCTCCTCAACGCCAAACAAAGATTTGGAAACCATCATTTCTTTTTCATTATGCAAAACTTTTGTGGCACGTGAGTAAAATCTTGGTAGCATTGTAATTCATTTTTGGCACACGAACTAAGTCTGCATTGATACGACTCTCATGCACTGCTCCGAGAGACAAAAGATCCCAAGTTTAAAACAGAGACAAAAGATTCCAAGTTTGAAACAGAGCCAATTTGAGAAATCTTACATAAAAAGAATTTTTAATAAAAGACAAAGAAATTTAGACACAAAAAAGGCAAAAGTGTTAGATAAATAGGTTGGGAGGGTTGATAATAGGGAGGGTCTTACAGCACATGGCAGGAGTTCTTATTAAAGATCAAGTATATGTTAGAAAAATTCAGTCCATAGTTATGTCGTTTAATTTTTCAAAGATACAGTGTAATTATTAATTTGTATAACAATAAATAAAGAAATTACTGGTCAGTTAGACTACATTCCTCACATATTATAAATTCCTTCCGCAAAGATATTTTCTCTTTGCATAGGTAATTATTATATTATGAAACTAGCGGACCCCGCCAACATAGAGGTAGTTTCGTCTTAGATTTTTTTTCTTATTTAAGAACCTTCTCCAGTCTCCTAGCAATAGCAAGCCCAACAAAAAGGAATTTGCGAAATCGGGTCAGTCAGTTGCTCTCGAGATTTGTGCTTCAGCAATTCAATTTTATAATATAAACGCCCGAATAATGAAAGGCTATTCGATTTTAAGTTGTACTTAAATATCGTGCGATCCCTGCATTTTACAAAGAATTTGTAGTGACAGAACTATATTTAAGCGCGACTTACAATTGAGTGGCGTTGGAGTATCTTTTGTCCAAATACTTAAACTTGTGCAATCATCCAAACGAACTATAATTTTTCTATAGTCCTCCTTATCGATTTCGGTAACGGCGACCCTTAATAGCTATCTTCTGTCGTGTGCCCTGATGTGACTGGCCAGACCGAATTTAGTTTTGAAAATCCGATCACAACTAGAGCAGTAAAGCAGACCGGCAGAGTTGTACGTATAGAAAGGTTTACATCTGTCTTTACGTATTTGGCGCTTTATGTCCAAATTTTTCTACTACCTCATCGTAGTATTTTTCGTAAAAAAGGCGTACCTACAATTGTAAATGTATTAATTAAAAGATTACGTCACTACTCTTAATATAAATCTGTGTGTTCATAATGGTTTGCCTGTTATATTTATGTTTGTGTTCATTATCCTTTTACCGGCCATATACGGCTCTGTAATAAATACAGGACAACATTTATCTCTTTAGATGTAAAAATAACCTTGATAACAACTTGATATTCGATGATATTAAATTTAACATGTTTGCTATAAGTAAATCCTTTGTCTGTAGATATTTATCTACAAAGGAATTCAGTACAGACGTTACAGATTTATCTAAGATCGATAACATTGGTATTTCAGGTGTAAAGGCTGAATAGTAACACGTTTTAGGCATTGAGTTGTGAAGGGGAAGTTGTAACTATGTATATAAAAAACTATGTTATTTTACGACAACGGCACGGACCAAGTATCCTACCCTATCCGCCGTCTGTCTGTCCCTATGTATGCTTAGCTCTTTAAAACTACACAACGGATTTTGATGCGGTTTTTTAACAGATGGAGTGATTCTTAAGGAAGGTTTATATGTATAACACATGCATATTGCACCCGTGCGAAGCCGGGCGTGTCGCTAGTATCTTATAAAAAGTCAATTTTGTTTATTAGAACTTTTTTGTCTTGATAATATGTATAGAATAAAGTCGAAATTGTAACGAAAAAATGACTGAACGGAGGTTCTGAAAAGGTTGGCCTGCTGGGTCAGGTAACTGTACTATAAGGAAAATATAGGATATTATAGGTGTGTCATGCATTAAATATCAAAAGAAGATAGATACAAAACCAATAGGGAAGATGCCTAATTTTTATTTTAATATCCGTCTCGTAGATTATTTTAAATCATTAGACACGTATTTTTTATTTTCTTACAGAAACGAATACTTTCGACGATATATTGATTTGAAGTGTCGCGTGACGTCACTTTTATGTACATTTTATACGTAGAAATGACGTTTTAGCCCCACTCCTAAAGTTTGATTCGTTTTATCTAAGTATTGTTTTATTATACGAAAAAATAAAAAAAAATACGTGTCTAATATTTTTTCATTACCTTACTTACGGACTAATTATATTTTTAATATTTATACCCTGTCATCATCCCAATTATGCAAGCACGGCACCCGGGACATACCAACAGTTGCGGTTGCAACCATCTACAGTGACAATACGTAAACTGATTCAATGTTATTATAATACACATTAATAGACCCATCTGTATAGGTCATTACCTCACACAAACAATGAGATGACGTATGTAATGTTGATACATAGGGCATTGCAAGAATTACGCGTTTCGTTTTGGAAAACACGACGCACGTCAAGGAAGCTACATAGTATCTTCAATAACAGGAAGACTTTGGGAATGGGTAGTTTAGATCTACCAAAAAGCAATGGGGACAAGGAAAAACTATGGTGCTATATGTGTTCATAGTAAATTAGTTTGTTACACGTTCGTATTAACTCGTCGAGTAACGGTTTTGTAGACACAATTATAGAACAATAGGTTGCGGTCACCGGTGACCGCTTGGTGTTTGACAGTTTAAATGCATTCGTATAGTATTACAGCGGTACGTCGGTGTTCCATTTCCTTTGAATGTGTAGTATAACAACTATGTAGTTTTTAGTTTCATTCGTAGATCAGGAACAGTAATATAATTGAATATTCTAGTTCTTAATTTATCCTAAATTATTTTTCTAATAACATGTAAAACATAATTAAATAATATCACGCCTTTTATCTCCGAAGGGTAGGCACAGGTGCACATTATGCCACTGTACAGTGTAACACACATTTTTCACTATTTATGTTGAGTCCCATGTAATATAACGATGCAATATGTCTTCCCCCATTTTCCCTTATCAATCACACACTAGAACCTCTCTTTTGGTCATACTTTTCTTTGAAAACATTTACTATTAAATGGAGTGTATATGTCTATATGTGTATCTGTTTAGCATAGTATAAAACCATTTTTATTTTAGTCAAAACAATTGCTAGGCTTTCATAATGGAGATTAACTACGAGTAAAAAACCATGAGTTAAAAGAATTGGTTAAGCTTTATAGTGATTAGAACTAACATCGGAATCAGAAGACCTATTTGAGCGCCATACATAAAAATCTTAAGATCTCATTAATATCTGCGCTGTTATTAACTTCTCAATCAAAAGTATAAACCGATTGCAAATAACCTTGTCTAACAGGCTGGTTGTAGGTCTAGTGTTACAATCGTAATGCACTAGAATCAATTGTATTGTAAGTTCGTTAGAGATAAATAATGACGTAAACAATAGTTCTGTTTTAAAATAAGAGTTGCAAAAACTTATTAGCTTAAAATAAGGGTCACATTAATATGCACACAAGTGAATACAGGTGGGAATTTTCGATACTGAAAATTAGCTTCATATATTATCGATTCTCTTCTACTAGTCCATTGCCAGTCCACTGAATATTTAACTAAGGGATAAACCAAATAGCAAAAGTTTTTCTGATACATAAGTAATGAAATATTGATTTTATCGCACATTACTTTTCCTGCTATCAGATATGCTGCGATTAGTAAGAAATTCATTAAGTTTTGCACTTACAATAAACATAGATAATAATCAATCGAATGACATGTGAATTTGTTACTTTTGTTTGTAGATTTGATAAAGCAATGACTACTAATCGTAATTAAGTGATTACTAATCACTGTAATCGCTTCAAATAAATAACTTTTAGTACAAATCATTGTATGAATCTTTGCATCAATAAGTCACATGTTAATCAGAGTCAGACGGCGATTATTTTGAATGAATAATGTTATTAGACATTAATAACATTTATGATTCACAACGTCATTGATAAACTGTATAGATAAGTTTAACAAAGGGCCGAGTGCTTTGAGCAATTTGTGGTCCGGAGATGATAGCAGAATAACAAATAAATAAGTAAAAGACCAAACGCTATCAATTTATTGAGTCTTCTGATGCCCCATGGAATTAATATGGGTACGATGCTTTATGAGTGTGTGCACGGTGGCCTTTCTAAACAGCTATGAAATACTAGATCATCTTCATTCAGCCTTTATGCCTAGTTATTTCGATTCGACCAAATAATTAGACCCTATCAAACTATATTCTATCATGTACACAATCTCCGTCTTGTCATAAGTAGTTCTTTTCTGTTCTCATGAAGGAATAAGATCTTTTTTATAATTTTATTGATGGAAAAATGAACCATATGGACACTTACCTCTGCCTCGAATGTGTGTAAGAACGGCCGTGGGTTCTTGTACTCGATCTGAAGGTAGACTTCTTGCTCCCAAATCATTGCTTTGCGGTAGAGGCAGTATATCCTGAAAAAGTACGACCTCTTCCCATTGTCCTTGATCAGACAAAGCACGCCTGTATCCTTCTTCTTCCATTTTGAATGTGATGGATCTTCTGTGGTAAACAGCTGGACCACTGCTGTCGCCAAACTCTGTGGAAACATTGTTTTCGTTAATAAAGTAAAAATTGAGATTGAAAGGAGCAAGGGTCTCGACATTACCATTAAGATAACTTTATTATTTTGTAATAAAGTCTGATATCGAATGACGAAGATTGGAGTGTATCTGCGTCTTTTAGAAATAGTTTGATGTCCAAATAAATAATATACAAAATCTCCGTCGAGATACGAATGTTTTACGCTTATTAAAAAATCAAGTAAATCTGTAGGAAACAGGTATCATTCGAAGAATAATATTATTGTTGATGTATTACTCACTGCATGCATATCGTAGTTAGTGCAAAAGAAGTTATCAGAATAGGTACAATTGAATAGCAAAAGGTCATTCATTAGTTTACTATCTAAATAGAAATACGTAATGTCGATTAAATAATATAATTAATTATCACAGCTATGAGTGTCCGCGCCCTTGTATGACGCATCGTTGCGTATAATTATGCGTAAGCGCCATTAGCGGACGCTTGAGTGAAATCTGTGAATAGCTGACCTTTATAAGAATATGACACATGTAGAGTAGTGACCCGTGATTAACTGATAACCCAAGTGCCCGTTGTTGTAGAAAATCTGATTTATATTTATGGTACAATAATACGATGAACGAACAAAGTAAACGAAGGATAGCGTGGCTTATTTTATTAAGCGATGGCATGCGAATAGATTTTTTATTTCACACTAGCTGACCCGGCAAACTTCGTACCGCCTAAAAAATATTTTTCTCACCTTTTAACCCTTCCCTGGACTTTCACGAACATTTTAAGACCAAATTAGCCAAATCGGTTCAGCCGTTCTCGAGTTTTAGCGAGACTAACGAAGAACAATTCATTTTTATTTATATTTCACATAACACTTTATGTGACACACAGAACGGAAAATTATCGGTTCTATACAATGAAATCTTACGCCAAAATCTTTGTATTGTAGTAGTTTTTTAACATTAGTTCTATTGAGTTTCTGTCAAAACTTAAATCGATCCAGGGATATTGGATTGAGAATTGAGACAGGTTATATTCCTTAAACCAGCAACTTTTACAATATCCATAATGTCTTAACTCAGATCTCAGAAATAAACCAAGTATCACTGCAAAAATCTTCTGGTTCTGGTTATCAATGCAAGAAAGTCATCGATGGAACATCATCAGCCTATTCTACAGTCTATACACGTCTTGCCACCATTACATTAGCTAGTTCAAAATTCCGATTGCGTACATCACAGTGATCTTAATGTTCTCATTCTCACTGCGATTTCGGAACACGTTATTTGACGTAATACTAAGCGAGACGTGCAAAATGAAACTTTGGACACTATTTGCAGAACATTTTGGATACAAATTTTCCCTATTATAGTTTCCAGACTAACGTAAATTGTTGAACTTTTAAGTGTGGGAGAGCCATGCTTCGGCACGAATGGGCCGGCTCGACCGGAGTGATACCACGGCCTCACAGAAAACCGACGTGAAATAACGCGTTGTGTTTCGTCGTGTGAATGAGGTTATTGAAGGCCCAATCTCCCTAATCCCTGAATTCCCAATAACTGTCAAATTCCTAATCCCCAAAAGGCCAGTAACACACTTGTAACGCCTCCAGGCGTTCATGGGCGTGTTCCAGGTGTTCATGGGCGATGCCGATTGCTTACCATACTTATTTACCGACTTATCCCAAAAAGAAAAACTAGTGTTCGGTACTAGTTACTAATTACTAGACAGCATAAAGTTCCCTGGTATCATACAAAAATATACAGCGTGTAATATCAATTAAGTAGGAATACGTAATCACAACAATGACCTACTTAGCAAACTTAAAGAACATTACTTGAATTTTTTGTTAATTAATCACACAATTATAATGTTTAAGACGTGACATTGTATTGTTTTTTACTTAACTGCACATGAGAAGCGTAGACAATAGGCAAGGTATGTAAGTATGTCTTGTATTTGCAATAGCCTGTGTGTCCTCAGAGTTGCAGAGGTCAGACGGGTAAATTATAGTCAGAATTTTAATTAGATTCCAGATTTGACAATAGCTACTGTCATTTTGTGAAATAATGATACCACATATAATAGTGTAGTGATGAACACAAAAATCGATAAACAATCAGTGTGTGTGTTTTATAATAAATGTTACAGAAAGTGACAGCGATAGCGATAGCGATGACGGCGACAATTTATAAAGTAACTTATTACCATAATACATACATCAGTTTTATTTGTCATGTTCCTACATGATTACATTTTTTATTTATTTCACACACAATTATAAAAGAAAAGTCTCAGATCGTTAATAATAATCGTCAAAACTAAATTATCGGTTCAGAAATATTTAATTTCCTAAAGTACTTAGTTTACGAGATTACAATAATTATAAACGAAAATAATCGATCCAGAAATATTGCATTTCCATATCGAATAATTTCGCAACGTCACTATTTAGTAATTGTCATAACGTTGCAACACTGAAATTGTCAAATCTGGAATCGAATTAAAATTCCGAGTATAGGAGCAAAGTTATGGGGAACACGCACTGTGAAATTATGTGTCTATGCTGCGTACTGCGAAAATTTCTGCACCGTAACTATTCATAAATGAAAGAAGTAACTAATGTTACTACAGGTCTAGTTAACAATACATATAGGTAATCTTATATCGTATACTATTATATATATTTTATTCTATTATATAAAGCGGAAGATTTTGTTTTTTTGTTTGAACGCGCTAATCTCCGTAACTACAAGTCTGATTTGAATAATGGGGTAGACGACTAATTTTTATTTTAATGTCCGTCTGGTAGATTATTTAAAAATATTAGACACGTATTTTTTATTTTCTCACGGAAACGAATAGTTTTGAAGATATATTGATTTGAAATGTCGCGTGACGTCACTTCTCAGTACATTTTATACTAAGAAATGACGTTTTACCCCCCACTCCTAAACTTTAACTCGTTTTATCTAAGTATTGTTTTATTATACGACAAAATAAAAAAATACGTGTCTAATATTTTTTATTACCTAACTTACGGACTAATTATATTTTTAATTTTTATACCCTGTCAACATCCCCATTATTTTTGTGTCCGATAGCGCATTTACCGAGGATGGCTATAGGCTATAAAACATCACGCTACGACCAATAGGAGCTGAGCTGAGCGTGTGAAACCGCGCGGAAGTACTTAGCTAGTAGTTTTATAATAATACAATCTTAGTTCTTAAACTGCGTCAAGCAGTAGCTCGCGCGATCCTATACAAAAGTGCACATTTGTATTAGATTATTTTTAAATTACAAAACTGAATATAGGTTTTTTTTATTTGGGCGATTATAGAATTTAATAGTTTTTGCTTAGTACGTCCAAGTGACCTCTTGAGTAGTCAATTAGTCATAGCCAGTTTATTACACAAACAATAATGTACCTAATTCGTAAAGATAAGGGCAATAAATGTTGTTTACATTAATAAAACCTACATCAATTAATATAATAATATCTAATAATGATAACACTAACCGTAGACAAGTGTAGCATCGTAGTATGTTTTACTAATTTATGATTATGCGCGCGATTTTCCCGCGTCTTCGCACGATTACTTTATAACTTTACGCGGGAATTTCGCGTTTTTGCCATTTTTTCTTTGAAGCGGAGCAAATATAGGAAATGTATACAAGGAATAAAACCTACAGAAAATTTTACTATACATCCGTTCGGTAGTTTACAATGCCTAAAATTTTGTTCTGTACAACTTATACCTATAAGTAAAACATTCTATATGGTCTTTTTTTAAGGGGGGAAAATCATTGAATGGCCCGCCTCACCCAGGCGGGAGGGAGTGTCAGACTCTTACTGACTAAAAACCACCCCGTTCCTTCTCCTGCACGTCGAGCCGGAGCCCCGGTAACCCGTTAGGTTCTCCGCGACTCCGAATCGGCATCGGCTCTGATGGGCCCCATCTGTGGTACGCTCGGATCTGTTTCTGGTCGGGCGGGGAGCCACCCATGCTCGCCGTGGTCTTTCTATATGGTCTAGTACGGAAGTTGGTGTCAGTAGTCTCGATCTCGACACAATACTTGCAATGCACAATGCACATCTCTAACAGCTTTTCTGTCAACTGTTTCCTGTCAGAACAATACAGGTAATGTTTGTGTCTATAACCCATGGTACAGGAAAATAACTGTAAAACAGTATTAAAACTATAATGACGATTCGTACAAATGAATCGATATCATAGCTTTTTGTAAAACACGAGCAAAAAAAAATCTGCTGTCAGATACGTTTTGTTGCACGTGCCGATCTGATTGATAACTTTGGAACACCCATTTAGGTAAAAAAATATTTTAAAGATAAAAAATAAATATACACTAGATAAATACAAATCGTGGTTATTTTGCTCATTCTTCATTGAGATAAACGCTGATAACTGGTGGCAATTCGTAAACTTCGTAAACGATACGCAGAAGAGAAGTGCAGGATTATTTCAATCTCGTGAGTTTCGAGGTCGTACCTAGATAATTCACATACACAATGGCTTGATAGTAAATATTATTCCGGAAGTTTCGCTATAACACCAAGAGAAGGAAATATTTCAGTAACTAATTACAAATTAAATTTTTAATTGGATAGGTATGTCGATGATTGAGTGATAGTAATTCCCAAAGCTCTTGTTTAATAAAATCATTTTAGTTTAAGGTTTTTTAATTACATCATTATACGATATATGAGATACCATGGAGTGTGCTTTCAGATGACCGCACCTCATGATAAATCAATTATTCTTCTTTTACAATGAGAGAACATAGGTGGTGTAAGATAAAAATCTAACAGACATCTCTTTTTTGTTTGGTTTAAAAAAAACGGTGCACCAATGTAAGATTTTCTCGTGTTGTAGGTGTTTTTTTTTAATGGGGGAAAATCATCGAATGACTGCTCCCGCCTGGCTGAGGCGGGAGGGAGTGTCAGACTCTTACTGACTAAAAACCACCCCGTTCCTTCTCCTGCACGTCGAGCCGGAGCCCTGGTTACCCGTTAGGTTCTCCGCGACCCATGTTGTAGGTGTAGGTATTAACAAACATACAAGTTCACATACAAGGGAATGTAAGAAAACGACAAGATTTTCATTGATTACAGTACAAGTTGAAGTATTATAAATACTGTGTAACTACATACAGCACCATAATATAATATTTTAAATATCCTTATCCACTTCGCAATCAGAATATTTACCTGCTTGATGGCATCGAGGTAAAATAATAACGTAGCCATCGAAATGTAGAACCCATTACATAACGAAACGTCATGGGGTATTTTACATATTTTCTATAATACGCATACAGAGGCCTTAGTACGAGTTTGTTTTAAGTTTAAAGTAATCGTAACGAGTAAGCGTTCGGCGCTCTGATTGGTTGGTTCATTCCAATCAGAGTGCCGAACGCGTACGCGTTGTTTCGAATACTTTAAACGTAAATCAAACTCGTACTAAGGCCTCTGATTGGCCGGCGCCAATGAACCAACCAATCAGAGTGTCGAACGCGAACTCGTTTAGAATACTTTAAACGTAAATCAAACTCGTACTAAGGCCTCTGATTGGCCGGCGCCAATGAACCAACCAATTAGAGTGCCGAACGCGAACTCGTTTAGAATACTTTAAACGTAAATCAAACTCGTACTAAGGGCTCAGAATATACAGATTTGGCACCCTAACTACAAATTTGCAGTAAAAAAACAAACGATTATGTGAATGTTTGTTACTCTGTTACGCAAACAATACTGAATGGATTTCGATGAAATTGGTATGAGCTAGAAAGACAGAATACTCTTATCTGTTTTAGTAAACGGAGAGGGCGGATGAAAGAAATATGTATAAAGGACCGTGAATATCCTTCTTCACTTAAAACTACTACTTAAAGAGGAGTTTCATAAGGTTTTCTTCGGTGGGCCAAGTATTACTTATGACCACCACAGATGGGGCCTAACAGGGCTGATGCCGATACGGAGCCGCGGAAGACTTAACGGGTTGCCGGGGCTCCGGCTCGAAGTGCAGGAGTAGGAACGGGGTGGTTTTTAGTCAGTAAGAGTCTGACACTCCCTCCCGCCTCACCCGGGCGGGAGAAGTCATTGGATGATTTTCCCCCCTCAAAAAAAAAAGTAATACTTATGAGGAATAATTTATCAATACCTGCTCGGACATTGAATCATTCCCTTGTATGATGAAATGTTGACGAATAATGCGACATAAGTGCTAAGCATCACATAAAATTGCAGAACTTGTGCCGTGCAATGTGGAAGTCACTCACTATGGTCACCAAACCATAAATCCTTGCAAGTTACGAAAGACGGACCGATCAAGCATGCTTTCTAACTGGCAGAACCATTTATACGGCGCCTAGATTAACTTTCGCCCTATAAATGTTTTATGGAGTGAAATTATAGTTGTTTGTTACCATAAAATTGTGGTCTTTCAAGTTGCAACAAAGTGATTACAATCTTAGCTTTCCACAGAACAGCGAAATATTTTCAATACCTCGTTTACTCTTCCCGTTGCTGTTGTAAGAGCCGATTTAGCTCAATTTATTAGAATTCTATCTCTAGTAAGCAAATCTACTAATATATTATTATTGAAACTGGCCGTTAAAAAGTGCACATCTGACAGATAGCAGCAGCGCTTTCTACAATAAACCTGAATGTTTTAAACTGCGATAATGATTAAATTTGATAACGCGTCCAGTAATTTTAGATTTGTCTTAGGGAAAAAAACGTAAGTATAAAAATACGAATTTTTGTATTTTACACGATTTTATAATGAAATTATGAATACTCGAGATTGATATCGTACCGGCTAAATGGTAAAATTATATCGAGTTGTGACAAACACGTGAATGGAACACACGAGTGAAACCGCGAGGTGGAACTTGTTGATGTTATAAGATGAAATGAGTCATAAATATTCATTTATGGAAATTATACTGATCAGCACTATTATGGTATGTTGTATAACCTACGTGCTTTATGCATTTAAGTTAACGAAATTTCTGAGCAAAGGCAAACCCTTAGTCCATTCCCGAAAGTAGAAACCTTATTTATCATCATGTTTAGTCTCCCCAATTCCCGAATCTCCCATAATCCGCAAATACGCCCTTGTAACGTCTCTGGTGTTTCAGGTGTCCATGGGCGGCGTCGATTGCTTAACATCAGATGATCCGTAAGCTTACTGGCGTATCCCATAAAAAAAATCATGAACAGCTTATGAAGCTGACAGTTCACTGCTCTACATAAACGTGTTTGCCATAAATACATAATTTCCACGTTTGGCGGGCGCGAAAGTGGAAGTTACATTTTAATGAATGCGTCTTTACAAAGTCTTAAGGAAAAAAGTGTGACATTATGTTCTGCAGATGGAGCCTATGCTACACTGTTTTAAAGTGATTAATATTAGCGATAAAACCAGTTCTTATCAATATTCGCAAAAATAATTAATGACGTCGTCCATTATGTAAGATGAAAGGCGAATTTAATTTCCTCATAAGTCAATGAGACCTAGATAAAATTCAGGTTTTTTATGAATAGAATATTTGCATAGTTGAATAATAAATACTTTTTAGGTTTTAAAAGAAATGTTGCCACACTCTAGCAATTTCTCCCACATTGTGGGTGGGTTTGAACACATCATACTCAGACTCAAAGAATAATTTGTTGACGTCAGAAGAATTGACCAGCACAGTCAGTAGCCCAGCAACAATGATAGCTGTGCAGTCAAACTTACAGTTTAAGAACCAAACTTGGGTGAAATATTTTAATAAATAAAATGTTTATAAACATGTACAAGGGTTACTACCTAGGGTTGAACAAATCAATTACTAGGTACTTGGGATCCATTTAAAATTTTATAAAAAGAAATTAAAGAGCAAGAGAGAGA